TCTTATCACCTTGTAAGGTTTGAAATAAATTACTTAGTTTTTGAGTAATTAATCTGATTGTGAGTCATAGCCAATTAATGTCTCCCAGAAACTTTTGAAAATCACTAAGAGTTCATAATTGATCTCTCCTGACTTATACTTTTTGTGGCTGAATTTTCTGTAAACCTGTCTTATATCCAGATAATTAATGGAATCTCCTCTTTGTATTTTTTTTTCAGGAACAATTTGTTTTTTGTTTTTGCTTTTGTTTTTTTGTTTTTTTATTTATTATGTACACAACATTCTGCTTCCATGTATATCTGCACATCAGAAGAGGGCACCATATCTCATAACGGATGGTTGTGAGCCACCATGTGGTTGCTGGGAATTGAACTCAGGACCTCTGGAAGAGTAGTCGGTGCTCTTAACCTCTGAGCCATCTCTCCAGCCCCAGGAGCAATTTGTAATCCCCAACAAGGCAAACTTCTGCATAACCTTGGGGATTCCTATCTTCTGCTGGTCATTCTTTAATAGTAATTGGATAATCTAGGGTTGGTGCTCTAATAACCTTGGGCCACTCCTTTTCAATTTCTTCATGTGACAGTACAGTGGTACAGTAGGTCTTTCTAAAGGTTGTAACATCAATGTTTATATTTGGCACAAATAGCAAACCAAGTTTTTAAGGATAAAATATGAATTACCAAACTAGTAATAATTATAATTGGCCTGTCAATCCCAGCTAAGTTGGATATCCCTTTATTTAATTTGTCCATTTTCAAACCATCCGCTGTAGAGCGATATCTATCTATCTATCTATCTATCTATCTATCTATCTATCTATGGCTAATTCCCCCTTTAAGGATTCCCAGGTCTGTTGACTTTTCAGTTTTTTCCGAGCAGCACTGTGGTGCTGGGGTGGGGAGATGGGTAGCCAGCTACAGTGGCAGAGCTCGGCTATGGGGGTGGGGGCAGCCAGACTAACTCTGCTCATCCCAAGTGCCAGGACTGAAAGGGGCAGGCCAGTGAGATGAGCTGGGCCAGCAGCTGTGCTGCTCACAGCCAGGCCTAGGGCACCTGCAGTTGTTCATGCACAGCTCGGGGCTGAGGATCCAGTGAGGGAGGGCATGGGTCCACCAGGATGACTCTGCTGGCTGTAAAGCAGGCAGTAAATGGCTGTGACTGAGGCCCAGAGAGTGTCAGCCTAGGGAGTACAGGAGACAGCAGTGGGAAAAGTCAGCGACCTGCATGGGGTGGACAAGTGGTGGCTTTACTACCACATTTTCACCACACATTGGATGCCAGATGCTTCATTTATCTAAGTGATTCTAATATCAGTAAAACTCAATAGTCAGATATTGGGGTAAAAACCTGGCAGATCCTAAGAGCTGTGGAGGAACAGTCAGCCAAACCTTACACTCAGTGCTTCCCAGATCAAAAAGAAAGTGAATCTCTCCAAGCCCCTCCCTGTATCTTTCTGTGCACCCCCTATCTGGGTCCTCCAAAACCCCTGTGGCTAATTCCAGTCATCCAGTCACTGACTCTGTCTTTTTATTTATTTATTATGTATACAGTCTTGTGCCTGCAGGCCAGCAGAGGGCACAAGATCTTGTTCAAGGTGGTTGTGAGCCACCATGTGATTGCTGGGAATTGAACTCAGGACATCTGGAAGAACAGTCAGTGCTCTTAACCACTGAGCCATCTCTCCAACCTGTGATTCTGCCTTCTAATTCAAGGTAATTGTTTTTCTTAGAATATCAGTGTGAACAAATATCCCACAACATATATATATATATATATATATATATATATATATATATATAT